TTCATCTTTCAATGTTACTATGTTGAAAGACATTTGCGGGTATTTCGAAATACCTTACAAATCTAGAGATCTAAAAAGAGACCTTTTAGCCAAGGTTTCAGAACTTGTAAAGGAATGTGACTGAGTGCAGCAAAAATAATTTCATTCTGCAACTTTCCTGCGCAATAGTTTGAGTGCATGGTATGCTGTCCAATTTTATATGACAAGTTGTGCGTAGTGCATTGGTTATTTTCTAAATATCGTAAATATTATTGTGGAAACAAATTATGAAGCATTTTATAAAATGAAGTTGCAAAATGAGTGAGGCACTTTCATCGATTTAAAAATCCTACTGGTCATCTTTTTTCATGATGTCCTCCCCGATATTTGGGTGACCCTATTCGGCGGAATAGCGGAATACATGGAATATTGTTAAATACGGAATATACGGAATACTCTAAAACACAGAATATACAGAATGTTCTGTATTTGATTTGAACTGGACTGACAAAAAAGCAGAGGCAAAGAATAGTCGGTCGTTTTGAAATGTAAAAGAAAGAAAGCTTTGTACTGCCGTAAGCCACACTATAGACCTAATGACGGTTTTGAAAGCCATATTGACGGGTGAAGGGTCTTGTATCACGGGAATCTAAAGTCAGATAATTTTCATGAAACGGCTGTTCTAGAAAAAGAAGAATTGTCAACTTAAGCTTGACAGGATTATACTAACAATTAATGGTGGCCGCACCTGCGCCTAAATTTGTCCGGTCGCTTTCTTTAGATTTTCCAGACATTTGTCCGCAATTTTCCTGGGAAATTATAGTCGGCAAGAACGAGAAAAAATTACACACAACACTGTATATTTTCACGCGGTTGTTTAACCGTCAAGATGGCCTCCAAAACAGTGATTTGATTTAGCGCCCTCCTTCCAATAAGCGCTCCCCCTTTCGAATAAGCGCCCAATCAATCAACCGAGGTTCATCTTCATTTAATAGCTCACAAACGAACGGTATTTCCACATTACAAAAACAGTGGTTTTATGTCCATGTGAATGCATAAAGTCTTCAAAGGAATGATCTCTTTTTCAAATCTTGTGGCGATTGCTCGGCTGGTCGTTCTGGCGAGGAAGGATCCAGGGACAACAAGTCCGTTTTCCAGTCTCCTTGATCCATTACCTTAATTGACTTGCCCTTTGTTCTTACTGCGAGCTTTTTTAAGAAAAGTGACATATAAGGAAGGAAAGTTCCATCGGCAAATGCCCAACAAGTTTCAAGGTAAGTCCCTCACGTTAACTGAGCATTCACCGCCGGCAGTATTTGTTACTGTTTCAGTTTCAAAGATTGTTCGTTCTTAAATAAAAATTAAAGCTTTGTTTGAACATTTGGTTGTTTCTTCAAAAAGAAATAAGCGCCCTGTCCCGAATAAGAGTCCTCCCTTGAGCATGTTGAGGCACCAAAAGTAAATAAGCTGCCTCGGAGCTAAATCGAATCATTACGGTAAGTCAATTTTTACTTGTCACGCGCTTAAAACATGGTTCGAGTTATTGAGGGTAAAATTATATAGAAATGATCTGAAGAGAAACAAAAATTAGTATTACTTCGAGTTAGCACGAGGTTCGAGTCGGTAGCGAGGGTTCGGGTTGTTGGAGTTGACTGCTTTTTAAACGATTTGTCTCTTATCCTGCGTTTTAGAGTATTCCATGATTCCATATTTTAGAATATTCCGTGTATTCCGCCATTCCGTTCCATCATTCCGTCAGTCCGCCATTCCACTGAATAGCGTCACCCCCGAAGTTTTGATGTCCACGAAAATATTAAACGCGGGGCTAATCAGTGTGCTAAGAATTGAATCTGTTAGCTACATTTTATAGCGCCAGATACTAGTCCTTTGAGAAACAACAAAAAAAAAAACCGTAATTCTTGGGCGTAATGAACTCAGTTTTCGCGACCAAGATGTTCCTCGTTCTCGGGAGCGACAGTACTGTAACATCTCTCTTTTTTTCCCTTGAAGGCAGACATTGGACATCGACATGAATGATTCTCGCACGAAAAAAAAGAAAACCGAGTCAGATATCTTTCAATAGACCGCTGGCCAGAAGCGTCGACTCGTGACCCCACAACGCTCAGATTACGCTGAGGCCAAAACGGTGCGGCGGTTCGGGAATTTTTTCTTTTTAAGTCACCATCGCTTGAGAAAAAATAACATTACATTGTTTCACTTAATGCTTTCTGGCCGCGAAAAAGTTGTTTTCCTATTTGTGCATTCGTGTAGATTCCGCCGCAGTTTAGACAAATGACGTGAATGGCCGCTGTCACGCGACGACATTTTCCAGATTCAAGTTTCGTCAGCAGATGGTAATTTTGAGTTATTTTCTTTTTCTGCCTATTTTTCATCTTCTTTTCTCTTTTAATTCTACGTTCTTCTACTTAGGATGGTCTCTGAGCGCCTAGCAAGGATTAAAGTGGCGTTTACCACGCTATCCACTGCCGTATTGGTAACAGGAAGTGTTTCGCCGAAGTAGCAAGATAACGGTAAACACGATAACTTTGAACGCTTTGTACAACGTAAATATATTTTGGCCGAAAAATGTTTTTCCAGAATCGTAATGTATATCCCTCCAATGTCTGATTCATCACTGTGATTGCTTTCAACAGCGTTGGACTTTTGAGAAGTAATTATTTTAAAATCAGCTCCAGCGCTCTATATAATTTAGTATGCAATATTTGAAAATTTATTATTTATTCACTTCGGCAGTTTTTCGATGTTCATCGAATGATATTGCATTAAAAGGCCTTTTTCTTCATCGCTGTGTAGTTATTATCATTATTTTGCGTTGCGATACTGATTTCTGAACCGTTTTTTGATTTTCGTTGATTTTGCTGCTATCAGACGGAGAAAGTTTGGGGCTCGATATTTCTGGTTTAAAGCGAAACTGAAACAAAAGAAATTCATTTTTGAATAGTATTCGATAACCTCTACTTGTGAGATAAAAATCAGCCGATTTTATTTTTTAGCCGGAAATCATCGGTCGTTTCTTAGGCGCAGGGCCTCTTAAATTGTTGTCCATTGGTAAAAAGGGCAAAAATAAAATAAAAGTTTTCGTAAAATCACAGTGAAAGGACGTACATAAGTCATAGCCTTTCAAAATTTAGAACCATAGGAGAAGCGAAATTGTCCTTTTTCATAGTTCAAATCGGTACTTTCTCGGCTTTTATCGATTTTTATTGTGCTTTCGCGGTTTAGAAGTAACGTCGATAAAATGATAGGTCAAAGAAAAGTCCTCTCCGGGACCACGAGTTTCAAAACAGTTTGCTTTGATTTTTTTATACTTAAGTGTTCTTAAGTCGTTGACTATAAAGGACTCTTAAGAAAACAAATATTACTAAGACATTAGAGCCTATAGAAAAGCTGCGCAAAAACGGCATGAGCCCTGTGGATAGTGTAGGACCTTAATATGGGACCCAGGTCTTGCGAATGGGACAATTAACAGACTGAAAAAAATGTTAATATATCGAACATGGGCTATTTATTTTGTCACTAGACTATATTTGTTTGTTAGATTATTATATGTAAAATATCCAAATTCTATTCTTTCTAATTGGTCCAAAATCAAACCGTATAACATAGTTCCATCTCATCCGGTCAATTTGTCAATAATTTGATGAAATCAAAATATAATAATGCAATTCCCAATTTAAGGCGAGGACTACGTTTTCCTCTGCTCTAGCTGAAACTCTGATAAGTATCCAAGTCACAATTCTCTCAAGGCATTGCAATAAAGAGGAGTCCCGAGATTTCTTTACTTGAGGATATTTCATCGGTTTATTCTACCCTCAGGGTTCTCATTTCTACAAAGTTTTACGAGTGATTTAAATAAAACGTAAGCGATACCGGTAGTGAACGAAACGCCCTCTGGTTATAAGTGAAAAAAAGTGAATGGAACTACGTCCGCATCCCATTAGGACGACTTTAATTAACCCAGTGGCCCTGTTACTAGGGTTTATTTTTCTTGCACTGTTACGTAATGAATACTGTGGCGATCAACTGAAGAGTTCGTTCGACGAAACTAGTTTTGTGAGTCGCCATATAAATTTAACAGTGTGTTGAAAGTGGAAACAAATCGAGGCCATACCGATATTTTTCAATCGTCTAAAAAGTGGTTTTTTCCTTGTCTGATCGCTATAAAATTTTCACCTGTAATTTGCTATGGATTAAAATCAGATGAAAATATAGTTTTTATTAAAATCGATATACTATGACAACAATAAACAAAAAACTTTGAAATTGATAAAAGCCGAATTTTGTGTGATGTAGTAGATTCCTAGAATTTACCAACTGAATACATTTTGTATACTATTTTCGTTGTTTGAAATGTATTCCTTATCATTAAACTACTTATAATTATAAGCAGTTATATTTCTTCTTGATGCAAATTGATTGTCACGACTCTGCACAATACAAATTATCATGACATTCATTAGCACCGTTAGTGAAAATGAAAACGATTAGTACCGCCTGGGCGGGGGAGTGATACTCCCTATAGTGGCCTCTACGGGGGGGATATTCCGCCCAAGGGGGGTACCTTTTCAGGCTTTAGTAGGTAAATATATGAAAGGGCAAGGGTTTCATTAGTTTAAGTATATGAAAAAATTTAGAAATCTGTCCTTTTGGTCAGTAATAGAACCAAAAAAAGGACAAACATATATTTTGTGGATGTGAAAGAGACAAGAAAACGTCCTAGTTCCGTGATTGATTTATATTCAAAAGAAGGTGCAAAAACAGCTATTAACGTCTAAACTAGGTATATGAGAGGAGTACTATCTGTCAGTAGAAGGTATACAAAAGGGGTAACTGGTATATAAAAGGGTAAGGGGGATTGGACATCGCGGCACAGCCTCGCTGTATAAAACTTCGTTGAGTGCCCTCCCCCCTCGGGATAGTAAAAAATAAATGCCACCTGATATTTATGCAAGGTGTTGTTTATAATCTATAGTCAATAAGAACTTCCTTTAACAGTTAAGATGGAGACCTGGTTTTGGATTCTTGGCTGGGTTCTTTCATTTCTGGCTATCATTGGAAATGGATTTACAATCTTCCTCGTTTGCAGCAGACGAAATCTCCGCACCAAAACCAACGCGTTTATTGTTTCACTTGCCGTGGCGGATTTCTGTGTTGGTTTGAGTGTTATTCCTTCTCTGTTTTTATGCGACTTTACAAACACCTGCCACTGGCCTCAACATTGGCTGTCTTGGGTAAATTTTGTAAGGTGGTTGTTTAGTTACACGTCTGTTGTAAACTTATCCGTCTTAGTACTGGATCGTTTTATTGCCATCGTCCATCCTCTAAAATACATTACTTTTATGACTCGCCGTCACATCATCCAAGTTATTTTCTTCTCGTGGACTACAACAGCTGGTTTTGAGGTGCTTCAGTTTTCACTTCGTGTTAGTTTAAAAACAAGACTGGTTGATGCTATTTTTTGCTGGCTGGATGTAATTTTTCTCGAGTTTCTCCCATCTACGCTGATGGTATTCAGTTTTGTTTCAATAATAGTTCGTGTACGCAAGCATTATGGGTCGACACGCACTTTATCGAAACAGCTACGATATAATCATCGCTGTGTGTCTCTTAAAACCTATCACGGCGAGAAGTCTGCTGTAATAATGATGGGTATTGTGATAGGAGTGTTTGTTATTACCTACGGAATGTATTTGCACTGTAGTTTTCTAATACTATTCGACACTACTGGAATGGCATCATGCAACGATGTAAAATACAAATTTCCTCTCTTGGTTTTAAATTCGGCAATTAACCCCCTGGCTTATGCTTTTTTCAAAAGAGATGTAAAGAAAGAGTTTAGAAGACTTATCTCTATAGATATGTTTTTTAAAAAAGGCAACCAAGTTAAGCCTTCCACTTACGTGCTGGACACTAGGAGGCATCTTAGTAGCTCGCTCCTATAGAAAAGTACTTACAGTTGAAATTTGCTGCATGTTTAGAGCTGGCAAATCTATGGCTCGTCTTTTTTGACTCCATCTGAATTGAAATTTGGAAATATTGGTATTTGAGGAAGGAGCAAGACCCATAGGACCCTGAGAATACTCTTCTTAGAGAAAGCTTGAAAGAACACGAAATACACCTAACGTGGAAGCCACGCTTAGTTTGAGATTCAATCCCAGTGTTTATCATATTAAGTGGTAGGATACGAACGTTTTATGGCAGAAAATGAACAAACAAACAAATAAACAAAATGGCAAAAGAGAAGGAGAATCGCGAAATGTGTCATAATGTGTCTGGGATCTTACTTAAACACCCTTTCTGGTTTTTGCTATTAGCTTTTGAGGATGTTAATACTTATCGGGAAACCGTGCAATATAAGTTCACCGTGTTTTCAGTTAGAAAGATTACTTCTTTTGTCTTGTGTTCACAATGGGTGTTTAAAATTTTGTTTTTGCCAATTTGGAGACAAAATGGATCGTGGTGAGCGATGTAAAACATTGTTTTTGTCCTCCCGTCATTGACGTTCACACGCCTTAATCAGCATTGAAAAATTCATATATGGATTACAGTGGAACCTCCATATCACGAAGGGCCATAGGACAGGCAAAATGTGTTCGCTTTAACGACGTTTCGTGATATCGAGGGTAATCCACTGTACTAGATGATCGAAAAGGCGATGAAAGATAACTAAATGAAAATAGTTATGTACAAAATAAATCATTTTCTATTTCTGAAAGGATCTTATGAGATTAACTGGTATGAAGAAAGAAGGAGAAACACACGTCAACCTGCGTGAGGTTCGCAACCTAAAAGGAGTGATCTTTTTTCCCCTCTTATACAAATCCCTATATTGGAACGTTGCGCCATATTGCCCATGGTCAAATTTCGAGCAGGGCCACCTGTGATTTAACTTTAAAAAAAATTGACTGTTGGCTGGTTGCTCATTAGGCAGTCCAACACCAAACAGGGGAAGAGTTGTCCACCGCTGGAACGCTATGATATTCAATAACATTTTCGAAAAATTAAGCGACAAGAAATGGAAGTATAACAGAAAAATTTTACCTTGACATAAAAATATATTAATAATTTGGCAGAACAGTGTTGTTTTAGGTCATATCGAAACTTCTATGTTTCTTATGCCATTCAGTATATTTGAAGAATTGTAAATTTAACACGTGTTCTACCATCGCTAATAGGGAGCTTAAGCAACGACGACGCGAACGGCAACGAGAACGGCAAAAAAGCAACAGGTTTGATTAGCAAAACAACAACTTTGCACGTGCATCACGCTTTTTTTGTACATTTCTTTGCCGTCGTTGCCCGACTATAACGTGAAAGTGCCTGAATTCACGTTTTGTCGAGGACGGGAACACAAGACAAAAACTTTCTTTTCTTTTCCTGAACTTTGATACAGTCCTTTAGAATTCAACTCCAAAAACATTTGCCAACATTTGACGAAGTAAACGAGATGGAATAAGCGCGATAAAGTTTGAAGCGGTGCGAATTCAATTTTTAAGTGACGTTTTGTAGCCGTCGCCGTCGTTGTTGCTTAAGCTCCCTAATTAATTCACAAAGGTGCAACCAGACAATTACATCGAGATAGCCTGCGTTGCAGCCGGCCCACGCATAATCTTTCTCCGAGGCGGGCAATCGTCGGGAGGGTATTTTAATAGTTGACCTTCAATACCTTTTGAAGACTTTAATTATCGGCAACGTTTTTCAAAAAGGAAGATAAACAGGTGAGCCTTCCACTTAATGATATTGATATTGCGCAAATAAACATACTAAACTGACATGATCAAATGACTCAAATGCACTGACAATACTATTACTAACAAACCTGACTAAAAATAAATATATATCAGTTAAATACATTGAAAAATTACATGCATAATAAATAAATAAATGCCTACTTGTTTAGTTCATTTTGTACGAGGTGAATCTCAGGGTACGTTTTTTTTAGAATCACAATCGGACTTTTGATCTCCTGAGAAGAAGAAGAAACAAAAGCAAACTGATCCTCAGGGCGAAGAGAAATGGGAAAAGCAACATAAATACGTATTGGTCAATGTATGAATACGTTTTTTCCAAGAGGCCGAAAGGTGACGATCTACACAACAATCAATTTATATGTGAATTAATTCGTAACTTCCCATACTATAAATTGTTCTAAGATTTGTAGTTTTTTTTCCAGAACTAATTTACTACTTTAACATGAGGTGTCATGATAATTTTCACTAATGCTTGAAAATCCTCTTTTATTAAAAAGTTTATTATTATTGATATGAGTTTTTCTCTCTGGAAGGAGGGTATAAACCATTTGTTTGTCAGATTTATGTGTGTAAAATATCCAAATTCTATTCTTTCTGATTGGTCCAAAAACAAAACGTTTCACATAGTCTTGCCCTGATCAAGCTAACAATAACTTGGTAGAAATTGTTTTTCGTTGTTTTATTATCATTTTGCCATAAAATTAATTAAAAAAAGAGGCAAGGGAGCCCAAGGAAGCCAATAAGGCTTAGCTTGTGAATAGGAACAACTTTAAAAGTATGTTATCTAAGTAATAAATAAAATACTGACATCGGCAAGCGATTGAGTGATTGAATTAAAACGTAAACGATACCGGTAGTAAAGGAACGCCTTCCGGTTCACTTTTGGTTTTATATTCAAGGCCATTTATAATACCCCATGCATTAATAATATAACAGTTCCCTTTATTTTCTTATAATGCTCCAGTTGGTACTTTACTACAGCACAGAAATACACTCGCTATTTTTTGAGAAAAATGCCATCAAAACATAGCCGTAGTTTTGCGTTCCCCGGGTGAAAAATAATATTATGTAAAATAAGATTTAGCTGATCAGAACGTGCAGACCGCATATATGGTAAAGCAATACTCACGATGCCGTCACCTATTGATAGGGAGCTTTAGCATTGACGACGGCGACGGCAGCGAAAACGCTACTTTAAAAATGAGGTCTCCTTTTTTACAAACTCTGTCGAGTTTATTCCAGTTCGCTGAAAATGTTAAATGCCGGCGAATTTCCCTGAATTTAATTTCTTGGAGACCGCACTCAAGTTTAGAAAGAGAAACAAAAATAAGTCGTCGCTTGTTTACGTACTCCATTAAACGTGAAATTAGGCATTTTCACATCGTAGTCGTAAAGTGACAGCAAAGAAATGTACAAAAAAGCGTGATGCACGTGCAAAGTCGTTGTTTTGCTTAATAAACCTATTGGTTTTTTGAAGTTCCCTTTGCCTTTGTGGTTACTAAAGGTCCCTAATATTAATGCGCCTAATGTTAATGTGCCGACCAGAAGCGCATTGGTCCTTACACTAAAAATTCGTTTGTTTCACTCGTTAGAAATTTGACTAACAATTAAAGGATGTTTGTAAACAGTGACGTCTCTTATAGCTCAATCGTGGGTTTATTGCTTGTACTTACAAATGAAAGTTACTGAATTAGTTATTAGATTCCACTTAGCAGCCAGCCCGAGTACACGCTGCTGGCAGCGTCTTGTTTACTTCTTTCCTTTATTTTCTTATTGCTGTGGAAAACGATAGAACAAGTAATCGAGATAAAATGAATCGTATCCTGAGTGATGTGAAATTAAATATTTTGTTATTAAAGCTCAAAGATAAAATATTCTTAAATTAAATCTACAAAAAACTGAGAAGGCCATGGGATGGGTTAAATGGCAGCTGGAAATTGGTTAAAATTTTAACGTGACTGACAGCTGAGAAATAATAACAAGTATTGAATGTGGCTGAATAGATCTGTATAATTCTTCAGATCATACAAAAGCCGAATTCAATAATTGTTTTTATCATTCCTTTCAAAATATTCATATCTAAACTACCTAGTATGCTTACCTCAAACGATGCCTTAAGGCTTTGACGGTTCTGGCGGCAAATACAGGGGCGAATTAAGGGATGTGTAATCCATCAAAAATTGGCAAAAAGTGGTTGTCATCTGTGGTGTGTTATAGTCGTGGGTAGTAATTTTTTAAATTTGTTTAATTGTGTAAATTATCTAACTGATGTGCAAACAGTTATCCTCTTTATTGGCCAAGAGGTGGGAACAACCAACATAAAATCGTCAGAAAGTCTGAAATATAAAATAACTAGCAGGCTTTAATTTCAAGGAGAAAGGAAAAATGTATTTTTTTTTATTACAGCTACATGTATGTATATGTATGTATATTTTTTCTGTAGATTCATTAAAATTTGTGATAAAAGAATTCAGTGGGCAACCTACCCCCGGGGGGGGGGGGGGATAAGCTAAGTCTGGGACTGGGTATAGAAATCAGAGAGAAATTCTTGGATAGGGAGGAATTTGGGAAGTTTAGTTTAGTATAGAGTAGCAAAATTCAGCTGAACCAGAAGTCTAGGCTAGGTGTTCCAGTGTTGCAGCGACACATTACCACCCGAAAATTTCTGAAGAACCCCCCGCCCCCGGCGGGCAACCCTAAAAGAGTAGACGAGATGTCCACTGCTTGAACGGTACATTAAAAAGCGCTACATGATAAAATCTTCGAAATTAAGCGATAAGAAAAGAACATATATATTATATCTTTAACAACGTATAAGATTCCAAGAATTTATTAAAACATTTTGTACTTATTTTATTACCAAACACACAAAGAAACGTCAGGTATTTAATATATTATCGTCCTGATGCAAATTTTTGTTCTAGCACAGCGCAAGACAAATTATTACGACATTAGTTAGCAAATTATTGCAAATAAAGACGATTTAAAGAACAAATAGAGCGTTTTCACTCACATGGCCAGCAACTATGAAAATTTATTGGAACAAAAGAGAGCGTTTACAGAGGAGAAGAGTTCAGTCAACTCCCACAGGATTGATTGGCACGCCAACAAGGCTGCGGTTTCATTGTTTTGGAACACCAATATGGCCGCCGTGACGTCATGTAAAAACGCTCCATAGTAACCAGTTGACATGTGTCCCTGATACTTATGCAAGATGTTGGTTATATTCTACAGTTGATAAGAACTTCCTTTAACTGTTAAGAATGGAGACCTGGTTTTGGATTCTAGGTTGGTTCCTTTCATTTCTGACCATCCTTGGAAATGGATTTACAATCTTCCTCGTTTGCAGCAGACGAAGTCTCCGCACCAAAACCAACGCCTTTATTGTTTCACTTGCAGTAGCGGATTTCTGTGTTGGTTTGAGCATTATCCCTTCTCTGTTCTTTTGCGACATTACAAACACCTGCCACTGGCCTTATTATTGGCTCTCGTGGGTGAATATTATAAGGTGGTTGTTTGGTCTCACGTCTGTTGTAAACTTATGCGGCTTAGTACTGGATCGTTTTATTGCCATTGTCCATCCTCTAAAATACATTACTTTGATGACTCGCCGTCGAATTACCCAAGCTATTTTCTTTTCTTGGGTTCTAGCAGTTAGTTATAATGCGCTAAAAGAAACCCTTTGTATTGTTTTATATCAAAACAAGACCTGTCCTTTTGCAATTTGGCTGACCATGGTGTTCGAGATTCTTCCATGTGTTATACTGATACTCTGCTTTGCATCAATGATATTTCAAGTACGCAGACATGATCGGTCAGCACGCATGGTAGCAAAACAGTTACGTTTTAACCATCAGGTGTCTTTTAAAACTCATCACGAGAAGTCTGCAGTAATAATGATGGGTCTTGTGATAGGAGTGTTTCTCGTTTGCTATGGGATGTATCTGCGTTGTAGTTTTCTAATACTATTCCAGACTAGCACTACGATAACCTCATCGCCATGCCATGATGAGCACTACAAAATTCCTCTCTTGGTTTTAAACTCGGCCATTAACCCGCTGGCTTATGCCTTTTTCAAAAGAGACATAAAGAAAGAGTTTAGAAGACTAATCGGTCACGTGGTTTTTAAGAAAAGTAACCAAGTAGAGCCTTCCACTCATCGTTAGATCACTTTTGAAGGACAGAAATCTTAATATTAGTTGGCAGAACTGCCTTTGATAGCGGATTGTGTCAGGCATCGCGGGCGGCAGTTTTGGAGCCCGCAAATCCCTGGAGGTTTGTCTCAAATCATAGTTTGGAAGCACTGGTGTTTAAGGAGTGTACAAGAACCAAAGGACTATAAGAATACATTCCAGTATAAGTCAGGTGCTTTCTTGAAACGATTCCGAGGTATATATATAAAAAAAGACTTGTTGCCGCTGTATTTTAAAGAAAATACATCAATTTTAACTAAACCCTACCACAGGACGCGTGACTCAATTTTGGAGGATGTAGGACTTAAAAGACGCTGAAAGGCTTGAGAAGAGACTGCCAGATGGATCTGTGACTCTTGACTGAAAGCAAATTGGAATTTGGAAAAAAAAAAAAATAAACAGGCGTACGAGGAGAGAAAACAAGAACCTTTGGACGCTAAGAGAATTTAAAATATTAAGTAGTAGTTTCATGTATTTATCTTCCAGATGCGAATTATTCCGATCAATTTAGCTTAGCCTGAATGAAATGTTTAAGAACGTTAGTACGATCGCCATCGACCATACAGGTCTGAGTCCTTTTCTTTCTCATGACGAGAAAGGCCATCGTTTTCTGTTGCAAACGAGTTTTCAAGCTGTTTCTTTGCTTTGTGTTCAATGTCCTGTAGCATCTGATATATATGTATCTTTTTTACCTACTGGCTTTTGATTGGATAGCGGAAACAAACTAAACTTCTTCTAATAAACTGCTGTCTAACGTTTTCAAATAAGCATACAATGACTTAGCAATTATTTAGTGAACCAAGTTGACAATAAATTGTAGTAAAGGGATAACTCACGTGACTGACTTTGTCCCGTTTGACTGACAGATGTTCTCGCGCTATTGCCACGTGACGGTCCCCGTTTTCTCTAGCTCTTACTAATTTAGGAATACGTCAATTTGATAAATGTGACCCTGCTTTTTACCCAAAAGCGTTATTGTGGGCGACAAGAGGAGCCCGCAATCCTAATCTCCAGGTTGTTATTACGCATACGTCGCATGTATGTAGCCAGCATGAGTTTGGACTTGCACTAAGAATGAATGGAATGCACAGAACGCAATTTGAACGCGCGACTCGACCTTCTGCCTCTCGTAATCTGATCACGCGTTTTTTGACCATATGTCACATGAAACTTACGCAAAGCACAGCTAGTCGTTGTCGCCAGCACTCCCTAACCTTTGGTTATTACTAGTTATTAGTTATTTCGCATGCGTCACATGTATGTAGCCAGCATTCGTTTGGACTTCCACCAAGAATGAATGGAATATACAGAAGGCAATTTGATCACGCGTGTTTGGATCTTCTATCACTCGTAATCTGATCAGGCGTGTTTTGACTATCTCTCACTTGAAACGCATACAAAGCACACTTAATTACAGTGATGGAGATGACATTCATTAGCACCGTTAGTATAAATAAAAACGATTAGTACCGCCGGGGCAGGGGGGGTGGGGGTGGGTGGTACTCCCTAAGAGGGGTACCTTTTCAGGCTTTAGTAGGTAAATATATGAAAGGGCAAGGGTTTCATTAGTTTAAGTATATGAAAAACTATGGAAATCTATCCTTTTGGTCTATAATACAACCAAAAAAAGGATGAACAGATATATTTTGTGGATGTGAAAGAGACAAGAAAACTTCGTAGTTCCGTGATTGATTTATATTCAAAAGGAAGGTGCAAATACAGCAATTAACGTCTAAACAAGGTATATGAGAGGAGTGCTATCTGTCAGTAGAAGGAATACAAAAGGGTAACTGGTATATAAAAGGGTAGGGGGGATTGGACATCGCGGAACAGCCTCACTGTATAAAACTTCGTTGAGTGTCCTACCTCCTCGGGATAGTAAAAAATAACTGCTACCCTGATATTCATGCAAGGTGTTGTTTATAATCTATAGTTAATAAGAACTTCCTTTAACAATTAAGATGGAGATCTGGTTTTGGATCCTTGGCTGGGTTCTTTCCTCCAAATCTCGCCCCAAAACCAACGCGTTTATTGTTTCACTTGCCGTGGCGGATTTCTGTGTTGGTTTGAGCGTAATTCCTTCTCTGTTTTTATGCGACGTTACAAACACCTGCCACAGGCCTCACCCAACCTTGGGTGGCTGTCATACGGTTGCTGTTTAG